TTTTTTTTATCTTGCACGGTCTTTTGGGGGCCTTATAAAGCCTAACTGTGGCACTAATGTTTCCAAGTAGAATTCAAAATACACCACACTTTCACATTGAGTTAGACACAACAATTAAGTTACAAACATTTGATGTTCCGGTCCATGCGTGGTCGGAAGGCACCCAGTAAATAATGCCCATGGGGTTGCCCAAGGAAAATTTGGGTTTCACGAGAGTCGAACTGCAGGAGGTCTTTAACGAGGAAAAGTGCGGACACATCTACTTTTTGGAGTGAATGTACTCCATGCAATTTTTAAGTTACAATATACTATAGATAAATCTAATTTGTTTCTAAAGTTCCTCTCATACTCCGAGTAGCTTAGGACATACAGGGAACGCAGAGATCAGACCATCGCATCATGGTTCTCAATCGGACTGTCATCGTAAAAAGTGGTCGCGGTCGCTTACTGGATGTGGATGTGTTCGTTTACAGGAGGTTCCAACTACAAGCGCTTGACTTGATAATATATTTGGTGCGTGTTTTGAATAAGTGATCGCTTATTGGGAAGTGGTCACTTAAGTTGGGTGGTCGCACGTAGGTTCGACAGTGCCTCGTTAAGCGAAAATTTGTTAAAATGTAAGAGAAATCCTAAAATTGTAATACAGTGGAAGCTCTCGTACGAGGGTGCTATCGGGACGAGAAAAAGGTGTCCTTAACTGGATCTGGCCGCTTACAAGAATGAATCTCATATGCATCATAGTTATGCAAGTGGAATTCAGCCACTTTAAAAGTGGTGTAAAGGTTAGATAGCTGCTTACGGAAGCTCCTCCCAGCTACAAATTAAAACTGGTAATAGCAAAAAACTGTTTTTTAGTGTATGGTTACGCTGATGTTCTTGCCTTGTTGTAATTTACGTAAAAGCATACAATTCAGTTTGTATTTTCAAGTGTAACCGGATGAGTATGTGAAAAAACGGTAACTCTGAAACGGATATATAAGAATGATTCATAACAGTGACAAACAGCCATATGACTGTGGACATGATATGAACAAAAAAAAACAACATTCAGAGGCGGATAAGATTTCTTTCGAGTGTCTGCTTAGGAGAGCTTTAAATCAAAGCTAACATCTAATTCGCCGGTAAACCCTTTAAGTGTCTGCGGCTGCCTACGAAAATGTAAAAATCCAGAGTTTGTGTGGGAGTTGAAACGGGATTCTGTGATGGCGGTCGTAAGTAGAGCTATTCGCTATATACGAGAGTGTCCGTTAAGAGAACTTAATCTACTGTATGAATCCGCAAATGACAGCTTAAATGAGAAGTGAATATTTAACAATTATTCCACGAGGGCGCGTTGGATATGAGATGATAGATAGCCAACGAGGCGCATAGCGCCGAGTTGGCTATAATCATTCCATATCCAACAAGCCCGAGTGGAATAATTGGGCGCTTTCCATTTAGTCAAAATTTCCGGAATTTCCGGTTCGGCGGTAAATGGAACACGTTTCGTCGGTTCGTCCCACTGGAAAATTCCCAGAAAAAGTGGAAAATCTAAAAAGGTGGTCCCGTTTTCCCGGTTGGAATTTCCGAACGGAATGTCATGTTCCATTGACGTTTCTTGTAGTTTGTACCAGTTCCAGGTCCACGGTCGGGCACCCGGCCACGTACCGGGGTTTACGACCAAATGGAACAACTTTTTACCGATCGGAAATTCCACTTTTGCTACCACCGAAATTTCCGGGTTTTTTTCGTAAATGGAAAGCGCCCATTGTTTTATTAAAAACGCCCACAAAATCTCGTTGTATCGCCCCGACTAGAACAAACCGGAAAAGACCAGAGACTTCCGCTATTGACATGTCACACGTCTATCAAAACTGTCAACGCGCGAACGGGCTTGCCTAGACTGCATGCATGAAAAATCAAAACATTGTGCGGTGCACATTAGTTTTTTAAAAACTCATCGTGATTCTAGGATTTTACACAGCAGAACAGCTTAAAAAACCTGGCAGATAATGTGAAGGAAAGGAATTTTTCAGTGACAACCGTCGAAATTACTATGAATTTGGATTTTCGGTGCAGTTATAAAAGTAAGAACAACGGAGAAAAACTACTGGTATTACCTCGTCGCTTGTTATGAAGTTGTTTGAAGCCACAAGCTGGTTTTGCTGAACGAGAAAAGAAGCTATACTGCCGCCTCGATTGCTCTTAGTGAATGGCTGCATAGCCTGTATTTGTAGCTGGTTACTTGTGATTTATATTCTTGATGTTGGATAAACAAGCTGCAGTTATCTATCGGCGAGTGACTCGATCGGCGAATGGCTTCGCGATCATGAAGAAACAACACTTGTCTTCTTTCGTAGCTGGTCAAGGTACTTTAGTTCCATGTGTTTCTCGACAAACTTACAAACAAGCTCTTGTGGCTTTTTTGTTTGTTTTTGTCTTTTTTCTTTCGTTGAAATTGCATATCTAGTATTCTAAGAAATGAATTAAAACGATTTGCTTCGGGCGCCGTTCTATCCTTCGCGAAAAAAAATCTCAGCTAGCTTCCAATTTTAAACTGACGCGTACACCGACCATATATGGAGAACATGGTATATTAGCTCATATACCATAACGGCTAAGCCAATCAAAATGCTAGAATTGCATTATCCAATGATTCAGTTTTTAATAAAGTGTATTAGTCTGAGTTCAAGAAACTGTTCTCTTACACTTTCCTTATAGCCAAAGAAGTCTAGCCGACTTTTTTTGCAATGTATTAGTGCCCCCTTTTGGGTCTTTTGTATTCCTCAGAAGTTTTTCCTCAACACGTTTATAAACGGTTATTATTATATTTTTGTAGTCAATAATATACCCAGATACAGATACCAACCTGTATAGTTGTAAGACTACGAGGATTAAAATACAACTAAGTAAGTAATTATGCCCAGTGGTAAGTCATTAATTGTCTAAAAACTGCACGGCACGGTCTGAGTACAAAAAGGGCTATTATGGACCATTATTATCATGGTAATTAATGTCAACATCGAATAAACTCAAAATTTTAAATAACACGACTTTCACGACCTATTTTCAACACACCAGTTATAACAGGATATTGGCGCGTACAACAATAGATAGCGTATTCCGCATTCCGGAGTCCGGTAGTCCGGCGTCACAGATTCCATCTTTTTGGCAGAGTCTAAAGTCAAAGATGGAGGGTGTTCGAGCAGGTGGTTGTTTTCTGTAGATATAGATGGATTGTCAGTGATCCTTCTTGTCCTTTGAGAATGATTTTGCTCTTTCTGACTACAACGTATTTCAAAGACTTCGAATAATGTTCGGTGAAAAGCCGACACTTTTAATTCTTCAATGTTTCAAGATGTTTCGATTTCATTACCTCGTCACGAAGTAACGCCACAAAGGACCAGACGAAACTGGAGCAGCAAATCTGGACTAAAGCACCTGAGGGACGTGTATGTAACATTTATTCACTATCTTTTATCCTTGTTGGGTCTTGTTTCACCTACAAGTTGGACCGATCGAAGTTTTGAACTAACTCTTTTGCTCCTTGTGTTTACTCAAGCGTTCCATAAAATATCCATCCAAACGTCCATAAATAACACAGAAAACATGCCTCAGGTGACACGTTCTAACAATTCCGCTATTAGTATCGATAATGACGCATCTGATTTGTGACTTCTCATCAACTTTGTGCTATTTTTGTTTAAAAAAACGAATGTTACGTTTCTTCCAATTTTGGTCAAATGACAAATAAGCGGCAAGTCAGATGTACATAATACGTCATTATTGATAAAGTATGAGATTGCCCAAATATTTTATGATTGATTTGATAACCTTTAAGATGTCTTTCAAAGAATATGTGAGAATTAAGTACATAGGTTGTTGCTCATGGGAGATGTTAGCCACTAAAATACCTTAAATTTAGGGTTTGGTCAAAACAGTGAGAAGATGTCCTTACTTTAGGCTAAATAATAGGAAGAGATCGAATTAGAGAGTAAAAATAAATTACTGAGCATTAAGTTTGATAAACATAGAAGATGATAAAGTTGATTAGATTTGAAGTTGTCTTTCCTTCTTGTTGAACAGCCAAACCAAAGTCAGCTAATTAATTATGCAAAAATGAGTAGATTTTGTCGTTTTTAGGGGGGGTCCCTGTAAATCCCAGGGAATTCAATATTGCGACCTTATTTTTTGTCGAGGTTAATATCTCACCACACCCATCAATTGTGCCAAGTTTGAGCGAAATCCGTGATTTGAGCATTATCACCTCCTGCCTGGTTCTCTCATGGACACACTCTTAATACTCTTAGAAGCAGAAACGAAAACTCAAACACCGCCAAGAGCACAAAAACGTGGCTGAACGTTTTCAGCAAGTGGAAGCTCCAGCATAACGAAGTGAGACGTTTTGAAGATATCCCTCCAGAAGAGCTAGATGCAATTCTCTGCTGCTTCTTTGCCGAAATTCGAAAAAAAGACGGCGGCGAATATGAACCAGAAAATCTGGCAGTGATGCAGAGCGCGTTGGACCGCCATTTAAAAAATGCTGGCAAAAAACAGAGCATCTTGCGAGACCGCAAATTTGAAAAGTCAAGGCAACAACTTGAGGCGAAAGCAAGAGAATTGAGAGTGAAGGGTTACGGAAAGTGAAAAAATGCATCTCATGCTTTCCTCAAGCTCTGGTCAATGTAAACTTTAAAAATGTCACTGAACACTTTGGCCTTCGAGGGAGACAAGAGCACTATTCAATGATGGTGGAAGATTTCAGCATCATAACCAGCCCTGACAGCGTTGTCAAATACATAACTTTTAAAGAAGGTCCTACAAAAACGAGGCAAGGAGGTCTCCGGATCGCCCATAGAGCTGTACAACCCAAAATCTTTTCGACTGGTGGCGAAAGATGCCCTGTAATGCTTTTCGAAGAAATGCTGTCTAGAGGACCACCAGAAATGAGAGACAGTGGGCCATTCTACTTGACAACTATTTCAAAACCCAAGGGCCAAGTATGGTTTAACAGACAACGAATGGGTGAACACAAAATTGGACAGCTTTTGAAAGACATGGCTGTCAAGTCTGGTTTAATTGCTGCCACTGGTAAGAAACTTACCAATCATTCGAGCAGAAAAACTTGTGTGCAAAAGCTAAAGAATGCTGGTGTCCCGAGGGACAAGATTATTGACGTTGCTGGACACAGTAATATTCTCAGCCTTAATTCATATGAAGGAGATGACGAGAATCAGGCAAGGGAACTGTCAAATATAATCAGTGGATGCAAGCAAACAAGTGGTATTCAACAGCAACCTGCTAACAGCAGCCCCAATAAGGATAGACTAGCCCTTCAAGCTAGTTCTTCCAGCAACAGTTTAAGTACCATCAACAACTTTACAGGTAGAGTGAATTTCTATGGTGCATTTCCTGGCTTTCCAGGTCTATGTAATATGCCAGTGCCAACTCACCAAAGCACAGAACCACAACGTACATGGAAAAGGATCAGAGCTTCTGTACTCTCAGACTTAGATGAGGACTAGCTATTGCTGACTGTACAAAAACTTTAAATTTACACCTTTCTTGTATTCATTGTAGTTTTGCACTTTTTTAATGTGTGTGTGTCTTGTACAGACTAAAATAATTAATTTCATTTGTTCTGCACTTTGTTAATTGCATTCCTTCTTAGTCTTTTCCATCTTTATTGTGTGTGTGTGTTATGTCTTTACACACTTTTATTTCTTGATATTGAAAACTGGATAGTTTCAAAATAATGAAATTCTACATTTTTTGACCTTAAAGTTTTATGGTATTGTTATATTTATTATATTTATTAAATTCAATTGTGATAATGAAATTCATTTCTATTTGGACTACAGCATGTATTTAAAAATGAATTAAAATAAAAAATTATTAAGATTTCAATCTGTTTTTTATCAGAGACAGTTCCCATAGTTTTCCTTGCGAAGCTGTATTTCCTCATTAGCTATATAATTAATAAGTAAGAGGACTACGGCCTCCTCTAATTTTGGCTGTCCTCGGAATTTTTTCATCCAATTATTTCCAAATTGGACAGCATGTAGTCCTATTACATATACTAATTTCTGTAAAGGTTTTGAACAATTATATCGCAACCACAGAGTTACTCCAAACACGCATCTGCACACACACCTTGTGGACTGTATCTTAGACTTTGGACCTGTGTATTCATTTTGGTTGTTCATTTTTGAACGGTATAATGTCATTGTAGGAGACTACGGAACTAACCAGAGGTCAGTTGAAATACAGCTTATGCGAAAGTTTATTTCCAATCAATTTGTAACAGACTTGCTATTGCCTACCGAGTTTCATGAACATTTTAAACCTATTATGGAAAGACGTATTTCCAGACAGACAGGCAGCTTACAAGAATACTCTTTGAGTAAAGAAAACAGTGATTGTAGAAACTTAATCATGACCAGTATGCTTTCTATTGGAAATGTCCGCAAAGGTGTCACTTGGTCTGCCGAAGATTCTTCATATGTTTGTTGTGGGCCTCATCACAGAGATTGCTTGGGCGACAAGTTTCTGCCATATTTAAAGAAGTGCTACACAAGCATTTTTGATGATGTGGATGAAGAATTCATTACTGGCCATTTCAAGAGATTTGCACTGTGCACATTTTCTGGAGATAAATATGGGTCAAGCCTGTCACGAGGAGACGGATCATTATATATTCTTGCAAGGTGGTGTGCTCTTGGAGGAAAAATTGACACCAGTGGAAGTGATGTTAGGCCTAGTATCATTCAGTTTTTCATGGAACAGACAATCAAAGTCAATGGACAGCCTGTTCCGTGCATACTTACTTTTGTGCGCCGGTTTCAATCACATCCTTCACGGTACTCCTTAGGTGCTCCAGTGGAGGTGTGGTGAAAGGATCTCTTTGAATTGGAAGGTGAGGCTACTTTCATTCCTGTTAAGAGAGTACATGGAAGGTTTGTGCCGGTATTTGGTGTCATTCAACGGGAGTATGTGTTAGTAGTTTGTCCTCTTCGACGCAAACTACACTGTTAACGTTTTTAATCTGTTAAGTGTTGGACTCTGCAATGAGTTGCACTATCACATAATTGAAATTTTTTTAAAAAATTTAAACAGTAATTGAAAACTCTCCTTTGAACGAAGACTGTGTTTCCATTTTGTGGCTAATTTTCATTTCTGGAAAAGGAGTCCACTTTTTGAACCATTATAAATAAACTTTTTATGATTGATATATTTTTAACTTTAGTTTTTAAAAACTTTTTTAGGCCTGTAAGAGCACTTATGACTCAGTGACAATAAAAAATTGGAGTCATAATCAGAGTCATAAGACTCAATCTGGTGAAAATAAGATTGTACAGGTCGGAAGCAGAAGCGGAAGGATAAACCAATCACAATCCATTCAAAGGCACTGTGATGAGTTTAATTCTGCTTCTGTTGCAATCAGGTTTTCACTAGTTGGTAAGTGACAGAGTTCTAAGTGGAATTAGAACGCTGTTTTCACACTTCCGATTATGACTGACTGCGACTCTGTCGTTAGTGAAAACCAGCTTTAAGGGTAACAATAATAGCGGAGCTCTGGCTCGCGAAGTGCACCTGCGGAGCACCATGGGTAAGTAAATCTACCCATCCCAGAAAATTTGGTAATCACGTGACCATACACCGCCCGCCCGCTGCCCGCCCGTCCGCACCACAGGGCAACCAATGTTCAATCCCACACTTTCCAGCTAGTTTGGGAGCACAGGAAGACTGATATTGCACACATATTGCACATCAATATTGTGATCAATTGACAGCTGTCACAACAGGATATCAACTGACCAGTATCACCTGACCGTATTGGGGGCTCAGGTGTCAACCCATCGAGGTCGAGTGTTTTTTAAGTTATCCGCTGACAAGTTACTAGTTTTCAAATGATTGCAGGCTCAAGTTTAATTTTTTTTAATTCATATTAAATATATTGTTTTATATGTGCCGCACAATTAAAATTTTGATTTCAAACTGACCTCGGAAGCCAAGATTCAGCCAGTCTTTAAGGCAGGGAAGACAAGCCAGTTGCTTTTGACGTTTCTCACCAAGGTTACGCGTTGGTCATGCTCTACGTCCAATTTTTATGCTCTGATTGGTCAAAATTTGACAGGTGAGTTCATGCGGAAAATGTATACAGCATCTTGAAACTTGTTTACTTTGACAGCTAAAGCTGACAGAGTTTTGTGCCAACTAGTGATGTTTTTAACTGTCTTTATCCACTGAACATTGTACAAAATGAAATTCAGCTGCTATCAAGAGTCTTCTGTTATTCATGGCTAGTTTGTTTATCGGGTTTTTGGTTGAGAAATACGTCGCTTGTCAAAGTCAGAAATCCGATTTCGGATGGCATCGTTTTCGTTTTTCACCTTACTTGACGCGTAAGAGGGTTGAAAAGTCAGAAGTGATTTTGGCCTTACTTGATAGTTTTCAGTGCATCTCGAATGGTAAGCCCAAGTAATTATTTTATTTGGTGTTTGTTTTTTATATCTAATTCCATGAAGTCGAGTGTAGTTTATGGTGGCATTTAGTTTATGCACGTTTGGAAGATTTGAGACAATGATCTGACCGAGTATCAGGTTTGATTATATGCTTATAGACCTTTAAAAAGCCTTCAGACATTTTCTCACGGCAAATAAAAAGAAAACGTTCCAAATAATATTTAGTTATAATTCTGGCTGTAAAAGAAAGCTTTGAGCAATTTTCTTGCCTCAAGTTCATCTTGGAAAAAAGCAAACACCGAGAAGCTGGCTTAAAACATAAACAATAAACAAGGATTTTCAGAGACACTTTAATACTTGTCTTCGTGAACGCAAATTGTTGTCTCTGTATATGTTTCACCGAGTTATATTCCTTTTATTATTGATTGTTAGTAGTCTCTTTGCAATTTTAATCGCTGTGCCATTTGTTTTCAGTCGCTCATGAACACCGCTTGCGGGAGTAGTCAAAATGCCACACGTATCAAACACTTTTGAAGATTACACATTGTTATAAAACCATTGGATAAAAAATAGACATAATAAATTCTTTATTATGTTGAAGTGTATAACTCTATTAATCTTAATTTAAACAGTCGACTTTGGCGCTTGTCAAAAGTGAGAACCCGCTTGCTAGCCGTATAGGTGATTTTGGAAATTTTTTTAAAGGTTTTGCTAAAAGCCCACGCAAAGCCCACACCTGCTTCGATCGTCCTAAATATTGAATGAGTGCAATTTGTAATGCAAAATTGTGAAATACTGCATTGTGTCCGAGATCTGTATGATAAAAACAGCGCCTCATGGTACCGTTTCACCTCAGATGTGATGTATAAAAGGTTGGTTTACACTTCCCCAGACTTGTTGGCAAGATTTTGTAAAGTAAACTTGTCAAACGCAAAAAATTCGGCCTGATTTGTTTTCCAGGCCTAATCTACTGTGATCAAGAGCCATTATGGCTATGCTATTTTTTGGGTGTATATATAAGGCTATCAACTCGATGTAAGATTAAGTTCACTCCTAGCTTGGACTGTTTGCAAATTATTTTCTCTAAAATCACTTAGCCTTTCCCTCAAAAGTCACATGAATGTGCTCTAAAGTTAACTGATTTGTGGAAATTACAAGTTCATTAGATTACAAATTCCAGTTAATAGGAGCTTCACTTTTAGCCCTGGCTAAATCTATATATTATTTTGAAACAGTTGGTCATTTCAGCAATGATAGTTTATTGCTTCTTCTGAGGAATAGGGCTGAAAATTCTCAGGTTGCCTAATCTTAATATGCTCTTTCAGCCTTTGCTGTGCTTTCGTGATTACCGAAAGTTGATCACGTGATCAAGTCATGCGAAGAGCCTCTTAAATGGAACCACAATAATGATTGCCTATGGTCAGTGTAAATGATGAGCACATTTAAAGCACAACAAAGCTGTTTTTGCACTGCATATTGCACACCTAAAGGAAATTCCAAAATAAACTTATTGTGTTTTGAAATTTATTATTTTCAAAAGGACATGATTTAATTCTCAAGTGTTAATAGTTAATATTTAAAAGTTAATGAATGAGGCTGAGAATCTTATGAAGAATTATGGATATCGAGGAGGGTAACACCCTCCGAGATATCCATAGTTCTTCATATGATATGAAAGCCGAATTCAATAATTGTTTTATTATTCATTCAAAATAATTCCTAGTTTCAAAACATAGCTAAAACATGGTTACCTCCATTGGTTCATCTTTGATAGTGTACATTTAGGTTTGTCCAGCTCCGCAAATATTCTCCAAATAGCAGGTGTTGCCCTCCTAGTTGTCTTCTTGCTGTATTTGCTATGTTTTTAACTATTACTTTGCCTAGTTCCAGCTTTAGTTATTGCTCTTGAAACGAGTGAAGTGTCGGCCATGTTTGTTTTCACAACCAAAACAACTCAACCTCGTCCCCAGGTCTTGTCAGTTAACTGTTCGTTTACCTGTAGAAGGCTGCAATTTTGACATCATTTCCTCGTTAAACACAAAATTCTTCCAAATTTGGGCATCAGTAACTGGTTATGGTGAATTAAACGTGTGCTTTTAGCCAATCAGAATTGGGGAAATATTTTTATTGAATAATAATGTTTTATCTATAAATGTGTATTTATTGTTACGATCTGGTGATAATAAATTCAAGCTTTTCAAGTGAAACTGAACACAATGATTTATTGTTTCCTTATCTGAATGGGGTTGCAGACCAGAGGTGAGAAGGTAGTGGTGGAGTGTGGTGATGGTGGTGGTTGGGGGGGGGGGGGGGTGATGTGGCTAAATTGTGGGTTTGGAACGATTTCCAGTTCTTGAAACCTAGCTTGCATCTATCTTACTCAAATCCAGTTAGGTGATCTTGGCAAAAAAACCTGCTCATATTAATCTATTTTCAGTCAAGAATGAAATAAACCCACATATGTTTTAACTGAAAAAGGATGGCATGTACTCCGTTCATTGTTGAATAGGTGCTGGAACAATGCTCCAATTGCCTCTGATAAGGGACTGGAGCAGACAGGGGAGAAATGAATGATAAAACTCTCTGCAAGGAAGGAAGTCTACTAGCCAATGCCCTGTGATACATTAGGCAAGACAAAGAGACACATGGTTCTCACTAATGTTCACACATTCTTGTAGTCTTAAGTCTGAAGCTGAGTTTTCTGAGTGTTTTATGTTGAGATGTTAGGAGAACATGATAACAAAGTTAAACATCTTATATATCCATGGCTAGGAGCAAGGAGAAGTGGCTGTTTTCACAGACTATCTCCGTTATACACAGTTGGAGGATCTGCTTAGGGGTACCATTTTTGAGGCTTCAGGTATTTGAAAAGGCTGGAATTCAACTTTTTGAAGTATTTTAAAAGGCCTAGGGTTTGGAAACTACTCATTTTTTGTTTGGTTAAATGGCTAACAGAATCAAATGAATTTATTAAAATTACATCAGGAGTCACCCTACCCTTCGATTATTTTCTTATAACTTGATTATTAATGCACAGGCTTGACATAAGGCCTATGCATAATCTTTTTTCAGACCAGTTTTAGTGCACACATAATTTCGTCTATCATGTACAAATCTGTGCAAAAATTAATGTAAATTAAAGAACACATCCTTTTTGGAGGAGTATGCTTCCGCAGAAAACATTGAAATTTTAAAGCCCTAGGACGCGACTTACTGTGTTCTTGTTTATACCAGATCAAGAGTGGATCTAGAGGGGAGGGTGAAAGGGGTGCGTCAGCAAAATTAAGCAATTAAAAAATGTAAGGGCTGCTGAGAACCAATCAGATGTCATAATTGACAAGAATGGTATTAATTCTTTTCAGACTAGCAAAATGGATAAATCAAACACTATGGAGAATGAGAAACAGGCACATAGTCTTTCGCACAGCC